CACCTGCGAGCGCAACATGGAGACGTTCATCAAGTGCTTGGAGGCTGTTTCAGGTGAGCAACGTTACTTCCCCTGATGATGGCTGATGGCCAAATCCCTTGAGTTTTAGTATATGCACTTAAAATACAATTTTCTGTTAGCATGAAGTCTTTTTAAATTAGTTTTTTGTTCTGCACCAAAGCAAAGACTATACAAGTACCAATATTTTGCATGAGACACAAAAAATACGTTAAATAAGGGAATTTTCCATCGTCTGTTCGTCAATGCCTTGGACAGCTGAGTCGGTCCCCAGAAGCCAACAAGACAACAAAAGTCGCTCCCAGGAAACCAAAAACCAGTATTCGTTGCTTGGAAACGACACGGCAAATCGATGCTCGAGGCGAAACGAGGGATAGCCCAGTAGTACTATGCAATTGAAGTACTGATGCAATATCTTGGTATTTTGTAGTCTTTGACCATTGTCATCTGGTAACGGGCTCAGTTAAGCCTTCGATACTCGTAGATACATACATAGATGATCATAGTTGATCTGTTAAAGCTGGTTGCGGCACTTTCAACTTTTTCACTTTTTCACCACAATTGAATGTTGAATGAATGAACTACCACTTCAAGGAGGAGGCTTCTTCGCCACCCTATGCTAGTCTTTCTCTATCCCTTTCATCTTTCTGAGCAACATCTGATCTTATCAAGTAAAATAATCAAAGTTTTCTCCTGCCCACCCTCCTCGCAAATGGTAAATGGTATGCTTGCAAAACGCATCCGAAAACGAATCCGAACAACCAATCCCTCACAATAACCGAATAACCGAATGGAATCGAATCATATGTATATACAAAACTAATGAAAAAATCACAAAAATATCCCTAACAATAAGACGATGATCGCAAGGTGCCCCGTGCCACCGCCACGGGTAAGGCAAACCAATATCCAACAAAACGCATCCGAAAACAAAAGTATCTCTCAATAAACATACAAACAAAACAACCACAGAGTTGAAACATATACGTGTATATTATTGTGGCATCATTTGTGTGTATTTGTAGTTAGTTTAGTTGATTTAGTTAGATTGTTTGTATGATTAGTATTAGCTTAGTATTGTGGCATCTGTAGCGTTGGACCAACCTAGACGATAAGTAGATACGTAGACATCGCATGCCTGTTTCGTCTGTTTAGAAACAGCTTACCACTGCTTGCTGGACACTGCTTGATGCACACTGCTTACCACTCAATGGCCAATTCATCGACTGCTCTACTCTCGTTCAAATGTTTTTCATTACCAACAACCACCGAATGAACAACCCGAATCAATCTGAAACAACAACACCACTGAACAACGACTCAAACACACCACAACAGGAGCTACATTTGGTACTGGCATCACGGCCATCAAGCTCACCGCCCTGGGCCGTCCACAATTGCTGGTAAGTGGAAGCGCGAAATCACATGCTCCTGGCTTGATATTCAATTACTTTCAATTCGGTCAGAAAACGCTCAGTTCAAACCGAAATTCGCCTCAAAACAAGTCAACCAAACTGAATCGCCTATACCCCATTAGCCACTCATATATACCTGTTCTATACCTGTACCCTGTTCCCATTAGCTGCAACTGTCGGAGGTGATCATGCGCACACGCAAGTACATGGAGGATATGGTGGGCGGGCAGGGCAACGTGCTGACCCACCACAAGACCATCAAAGATCTCGAGAAGTATTATGCCACCCTGGGCGACAACAAGAACGTGCAGGACTTTCTGAAGAATGTCACCTCGGATAAGGAGGGGTGAGACAGGACAGAGGAGGAAACGGGTCGCCCGGTTGTCTAATGGAGACCCCTTGTTTTTCAGCATCCTGCATCTGTTCCCCTGGTCGGGAATTGTGGACGAGGACTCGCAGTTGAGCGACACGTTCCGTGTTCCTGATCCCCAGACCGGCCAGATGCGCCGACTGATCTCACAGATACCGCCCAAGGAGGAGGAAATGTTTAGGAATATGATTCGTCGTCTAAACACGATTGTAAAGGTGGGTGCATTACATTCCTCCGGAAACTGAACACTGGTATATTCCACATCTGATATATTCCCAGACTGCTGCCGAGCTGGACGTGCGCATCATGATCGATGCGGAGCAGACCTACTTCCAGCCGGCCATTTCGCGCATCACGCTGGAGATGATGCGCAAGTACAACAAGGACAAGGCCATCGTCTTCAACACCTATCAGTGCTATCTGCGCGAGACGTTCCGCGAGGTTTGCACCGATCTGGAGCAGGCCAAGCGCCAGAACTTTTACTTCGGCGCCAAGCTGGTGCGCGGCGCCTATATGGAGCAGGAGCGTGCCCGTGCTCAGGCCCTCGGCTATCCGGATCCCGTCAATCCCACGTACGAGGCGACCACAGACATGTACCACAAGACTCTGTCCGAGTGCCTGCGTCGCATCAAGGTGAGTCCAACTCCTATTCCTTTGAAGTAATCTCCCCATATGCTTGGTTGCAGCTAATGAAGGATTGCGGCGATGACGCCAGGAAGATTGGCATCATGGTGGCATCCCACAACGAGGACACCGTGCGCTTCGCCATCGAGCAGATGAATCAGATCGGCATCTCACCCGAGGACAAGGTGATCTGCTTTGGCCAGTTGCTGGGGATGTGCGACTACATTACCTTCCCTCTGGGTGAGTTCTCGTCCCTTACAAATCTCAAACCGTGCTCAGCTCTTAATGTTCCGTAATGCTCGATTCGATCCACAGGGCAGGCTGGCTACTCCGCCTACAAGTACATCCCCTATGGACCCGTTGAAGAGGTGCTGCCATACTTGTCGCGTCGCGCCCAGGAGAACAAGGGCGTGCTGAAGAAGATCAAGAAGGAGAAACGCCTGCTGCTGACCGAGATCAGCCGTCGCCTGGTGCGCGGCCAGCTCTTCTACAAGCCCAAAGGCAACTACGTCCCCATCTAAGCCTGCTGGCGGCCCAGCACTCTGGATGGACGCGCACTGTACAGACACACGGCACACCGTACAGAATCGGCGGTGGTGAGAGCGACGGATGACCCACCGCCACGATGATGATGTTGATAATGTCGCCAGGGAATTGTGCTCGCTTCAGGCTTTTTTATTCTGTTTGTTATCCATTCTAAATGTTTACGAGATCTGCGTCTATCTTCGCGTATATATGGAACTGTTTTTATATACCAAGAACAACCCAGAGAGCCATCCTCCTTCCTTCATCCTCCCCAGTCTCGCACTCTACCCACCACCTACCACCCACCATCCACAGTCCACATCCCACTCCCCAGAAAAGGGAGGAGAACAGCAGCTGGAGGAGAAACAACCATAGACAGCAGGATTGATGAGAGGGAAATGTTTTTCTAATGAAAATATGTATGATATTTTGATGTCTTGTTGCAACCAATAAATTAAAACGATTTCTTTATGTGTGTTAAAAGAAAATCCCCATAGAAACCATAAACAGAAAAAAAACAAAGAAAATAAAACGAAACGAAACGAAAGAAGAGTAGGAGCAATCTAAGATCAGAAGATCTTGGATGGAGAAAGGATTGCGAGGAAGAGAACATTTTTTAGCATCGTAATTTAAAACATAAAAATCTATACAGTATATGACATATATATATACAAATAATGACAGCAAAACGTTTATAGAAATACATACGTATATGTAACGATATATATATGCATAGAATATATGTATGTGTATGGCTGCATTTTAGTCCCAAATTTCGTTGACTTTCCTTTCTGTTTCTCCCAACCTTTTGTTCCACTTACGATGTGATTTGACTGTTTTTTTTATGTTCCGTTCCTCCTTAAGCTTACGATCCCAACCCTTACGATCATACACATAGACACACATACATAGATAGAGAAAGAGCAGAGACCGAGAGAAAGAAAGAGAATAAAGCGAGGGGGAGAGTCCAGGGAGTTTGTACCCCCTGCTTGAAGCCCTACCATCTACTCCAAAATAGTCAAATACTGCCGTGGCCTGCAGCGGCCAGAGAGGGAGAAAGAGAGAGCATCCACCACTAGGAACCAGGGATAACCGCGCATACCTAAACCTAACACCTCCTATTATTATTATTATTATTATTATTATTATTATTATTATGATTATGATTATGGCTAAATTAACATTATATATGTACACATATGTATATTTTAGCGAGTAGCAAAGCGATATTATAAAAGTCATTACTACGATAGTTGATCGAAAAGCCGCGTTGACGGAACCGCGAGAATCTCTTTGCCATCTTCCTTTGCCCCACTATTTCTGTTTCCAATTGTGTGTTCTCGTTCCGATCGATCAGCATCAGTGTGCCCCAAGTGCCAGGGAGATGAGGATTCCTGCCAGACAGACACGCAGACAGACACAGAAAGGCATCAATAAAGCAAGACCGAAACGAATTCGCTGCGATTTGATTTGAATCGATTCGATTCGAAAAGGACCGAAGCGATAGTTTTCTTTAGTATATTCTCATGATTGCTATTATTATTGTATTGCATAAAACGCTATAAATAAATAATTGTATGAATGTTAACTATTTCAATGACAATAATAAAATGTTAAAAACGAAAGCTCATGCCGTGAAAATTTCATTCATTTGCCATGTAATGGCTTCACGGTGTTCCCACAGCCTCAGTTGATTGGGTAATCATCTCGGGGAGAGGAGACAATAGATGGTCTGGCACTTGCAGGCATTCTTGCTAATGAGGTTATCTATCATCTGAGCCATCATTTGTCAAATACCCCTAATGATGCCTGCGGGACACTTATTCGCACGCAACTGAAAGGGACGCGCTGTCTTCCTATGCTTCCCTCTCTTTCATATTCATTAACCCGGTGCTAAGAGGTTAGGGGACATATTAGTATTGTGTCGATGTCGGCAAAAGCCAGAAGGAATCGCTTCTGACCACAGGAAGCATAACTATATATTCTTGTTTCTCTGCAGTCCAGATTCAGTTTCAAAGATTCCCTTGCTCAATGAAGAAACATTACAATTTCTCAATTCATCTCATGGCACGATGAGATTTATATTATTATCATCGTTTCTCAACTCGTAACATACACATTTTTCATTCCATTACAGACTAAAGCACCTAAATGCTTACATATATATATATACTAGCTTATTTCGGGAACCCTTGGTAAGCAGTCCCCGCCTACAAGGGTTTCTTCTTTTTTTGTCTGGGGGCAGGGCGTCGATTGCCAAATTCAACCATTAGGGGATCGTTGGTCTTTCGGTCGAAGGCTGCTTTGGCGGCTGTCTGACGAGGGCGTTTGGCGTCCGAGGACTCGTCGGCAGGGCCAGAGGCTTTAGAGACGACGACACGTTTGAGTACCTTGGGGACCATGTATTCGGGCATGTCGGACAAATGGCTTGGCGTTTTGAGGATGCGCAGCGGCTTGTCGTGACGCAGAGCGTTCAGATCGCGTTGGTGATCCTCGAAGTAGCCCTTGAGCTTCACGCTGTTGAGCACCTCGGTTTTGATTTCGCGTAAACGGGTCTCCTGGACAGCGGCACGAGAGGCAGCACGCCAGGCGTCGTAAGCACGGTAGCGGAAGGACTCCAGTTCGTCCATTTTGAATTGATAGTTTCTGCGAAAAGAAAATCTTTAGCTTGCTTACAGATTGGGGATTCTAGCATGCTTGCTTACTTAATGATCGTGTCACCCTTTTTGGCACTGAAGGTTATTCGGAGCTTCTTCTCTACGGCATCGTTTACGCCAGACTCCTTGATGCTAACGAGGGACAGAACGGAGCCCTTGTTGTTGCCTCTGGCCGTGCGTCCAGCGCGATGAATGTATGAGGTAACATCGAGCGGAAAGTCAAAGTTAATCACATTGTTTACCGACTGGAAGTCGATGCCACGCGAGGCGCTAGACTCGAAATCGCCGCGCGTTGATTTGCGCTTGTCCTGTGAACCGTTATCGGGCCGCTCTAGATAATGCTGATCGGAGGCAATGATGATGTCGTAGGTGCCTTTGTTGAACTGACTAATCATGTTGATGCGAATGGAGGCCGGCAGCTGCGGGTTGAGAACGCAGGCCCGTATGCCAAACTGCTCCAAAAACAAGCGAATCCTACAAGAGAGGGGTAAGCGGAGTTGAATATGAAGTTTCATGGTGGGGCCTCGTCAGGAGCTATCTGATCCATCAGCGAGAAGATTAGTTATTGGTCATGCGTGCGCCAACTGTTGCCAGATGCGCACTCCCTTTCACTTTGGGTTTAACATCATGTGGGACTCAACTACAGGAATTCAGCAACAGGGGTTCGCTTTTTACTTACTTGTAGCTGCGATCGATGGTGTTGACAAATATAATGGTCTTGCCGCGTATCAGTTGCAACTTAAGCAAGGCGTACAGGATGACCGGCTTGTCGTTCTCTTCCGCCAGGATGCGCTGGTGGGTTAGCTGATCCTGCGACACTACATCGGGCTCCTCCAGCTTTAGCGTGACTGGATTGTGGAGGCACAGTCCCTTCATGCGTACCACGTCGTCTGAAAGGGTGGCCGAGACAAGCACCGATTGGTATATGGAAGGCAGATGTTTAAGTAATGCCTTGAAATCCATTTCATAGCCGAATGCAAAAATCAGATCTGCCTCATCCACCACCAGAGTCTCGACTTTCTTCAGGTCTACCACACCGTCGGCCTTGGCATGGTTCAGTAGCTTGGCTGGAGTGGCCACAACAATGTCGGGGCGCTCGGCGAGGGCATGCCGTTCAGTCACAGTATTACTTGTTGTTCCGGAAATGTCCGCAACACGCACAACCTTGTGGCAGTATTCGGCCAGCTGCTCGATGACTGCGCGTGACTGCCGGCACAGCTCTTTGGTTGGGGCCAGTACCACGGCGCTCACACATTGTTCGGTGGCAGTGAGCTTAGAGTTGAGAATTTTCTGTATCAGAGGCAAGGCATAGGTGGCCGTCTTGCCGGAGCCGGTGCGAGCGCGAACTACAACATCCTTGCCCTCAAGCAGCAGGGGAATCGCCGTGCCCTGGATCAGCGTGGGCTGCTCCCATCCCAGCTTCGATACTGCCTACAAAACGAATGGGAAAGTTGAGTAACCGCGTAATACGGGTCAGGTTCTTGCACACTACCTTGAGAATACGATGGTCCAACTCAAGTTCATGGAACTTCGGTAACTTTTCTGGGCTGCTCATTGTTGCAAATTTGTAAAATGCGCAGCGGACAGAACGCACATGTGTTTATGTCCGATATATAAGTGTTGCACAGAACGCAGAGGTGCGCCACTTATCGATACATGCTGTAGTCGAAATATAATATAATATAATATAAATACATAAATCAATGATACGACTTGGCAACAGGTTACTTAAGCCATAATTAAATAAATTTAATAATTTAAGCAATTTTTTCCATATCGATATACTACTCATATCAGCTGGGCTGGTGTGGCATTTCCAGCGCTTTGCAGCACTAGTCCAACCCAGCACGTGCGTGCAGATAGGCAGCGGCGTTTGTTTTTAATTTTTTATTGAATCGTTTTTTCGTATATCCCAATGGGTGATGATCAGAAAAAGAATGCACGTAAACACGTCAAACAGATTTTCCAAGACTTTCTAGAAGAAAACGATTGCGAAGCTCTAAAGCCGAACTGCGCTAACAACAGCTGCTGCGGACAAGGCCTTCAGGAGTTCGATGCCCAAACGCACGAAGCCTGGCTATTGCAATGCCCTAAGAGCTTGGATCCCAGTGCGTTGGAGGGCAGGCGCATCAAGATGCCCGGACGTCGCTTTGTGGGTGGACTTCAAGTGCGGTGCATCGAATATTCAACACCCTTCTCCGAATCCATTGGTTATACGAATGTGAAGGGCAAAAATAGGGTGCGCAAATTTCCCCTTAGTGGCGTTGTGGTGCTCAGCAAGCGTCTAAACGTAGCGCAGCCTGGCGCCAACGAGGAGGCCAACTCTTTCCCAACAACTACTACTCCCCCGAGCTTCGTGATGCCTGTGCGCCACCCGTTCTTCGGCCGTGATTACAAGAAGCGCATTAAGGTGACCAAAGCCATTTCCCGACACCTGATTGAGGCGAATAAGAAGAGTCTTGAGACATCAGCATTGCTGCGAGATAAGGCAAACTATTATAAGATCCGCAAGCAGCTTCAGGGAACAACACAGACTCTGGAGGAGAAAGAGCAAGATGTGCGTCAATCGGTGTTGACTGGCGTGACACCAGACTTTATGAACAAGGGCCATGGTGCCTCTTACAACCTCGGGGACCTCACCAGCGGCGACAAAAAAGTACGGACCAAAAAGAAGCATAACACACAAAAAGAAAAGATCTCACAAGATCAGCTATTGTCAGCGGAGAAGCCGAAAAAGCGCACAGCCAATGGAAAAGTCAAAACGAATGGCGACGTGAAACATGACCAGCAGGACGGCGCCGATGAAGCGCCACAAAAGAAACGAAAGAAGCTGAAAACCAATGGAGAAGTCTAAACGAAGAACTAGGAGAAAGATGTGATGTGAGGATATTCAACTCACGAAATAAACTAAGAAAACAAACATTTGCTTATTTTTTTGTTGTCTTTGGTTGCTACTGGAGCATTTTGAGTGGGCACTAGAAAATTAACCTGCAATGACCAGATACAGATGTACGTAAATCTGGGACCAGCAGGGCTCGGGGCAAAGCTGGTGTGTGTGTATGTTTATCCGTTGAATGTTTTAAAATTTATTTAAAATTATCTTGCAAATGGTAGTGCACGATAGTTCATAGTGTAAATATGAAGTTATCGGTGAGCTCAACTATCGATAGGTAAATAACATAAAAAATACGTTCAACTGCTATCTTGAAGAGTTGGGAAAACATCGATAGTTTCCACTATCGCTGTTGGAAATCACGCGCTCGATGCTATTGGGGGTGAACAAAAAAATTGATGGTCTGCTAATTTTTCTACTATCGATAGTATATCAGCGTTGCTTTCGACGCTTCCGAGAATTTATTTGAAAATCCTACAATTTTAAGGGCTTTGACAACCCTTTTCCGTGCCCAAATTTAACCAAACAAACTCGGAATAGGTTATATTTATTTCGTTTGCCCCACTGCACAGGCCAACCAAACAGAAGCATGGCGCTGCGTGGCTATATAAGGGAGGGTCTGAACGTGGCCGCAATTATGGGAGCCGGCGACTCAATTGCCCAGCTGTTCATTGAGAAGAAATCGCTCGAGCAATGGGATACTGGACGAACGGCCCGGTTCAGTGCCCTCGGTCTGTTGTTTGTTGGCCCGATTTTACGTAAATGGTACCTGACGCTGGAGACGCTGGTGAGCAAGGACCAACCATCGTTGACGCGCGGAATCAAGAAGATGGTCATTGACCAAACCGTGTTTGCGCCGACTTTCACATTGGCCATGTCGTTCATGGTGCCCTTCGTCAACGGCGAGGATACGGAGAAGATCAAGACCCGCATTCGGAATAGCTATTTCTCGATTATGTTAAAGAATTACATGCTATGGCCGGCGGCCCAGTTCGTCAACTTCACGTTCGTCCCACTGCCGTACCAAGTGATGTATGCACAGTTCATTGCCATTATCTGGAACTGTTACATTTCTCTCATACTCAACAAATAAAAAACTAAGTTAGCCAGCAGATTCTGCGAATGAAATGCACACGTTCTGTGTAAAGGTGTTGGATTTTCTTTGATTCTGTCAATTTCGCGGGCGCTATCGTTGTAGCTATCGATTGCACACATCGATATACTCTCCATCGATAGTGTTTGTGGAAGTGCGCGGCTGCCTGCAATTCCGTCCAAATTAGTCACAATAGGGCGACATTATGGACTTCACACGTGAGATTTTGAGTTTCCAGTTTGGCACCTATGCCAATTATGTTGGTGCACACTTCTGGAATCAGCAGGTGAGCTCGAAAAGCCACTGCCACTGCCACTCCTCAATCCAATGCGGTTATGCTTGTTATAGGAGGCAAACTTTGTGTATGACGGCTCCAGCAGCCAGGTGGCCGAGGAACAGCTGCCGCAAAACGATGTACTGTACAGAGAAGGTCTCAACGACTATGGCCAGACTACCTATACCCCTCGTCTGCTCTCCGTTGACCTGGCTGGCAACTTGGCCCATCTGCCAATCGTGGGAGAATTATATGGCAACTATGTACAGCGTAATGAGGAGCTGTTGCCTCTCACAACAGGCAATCATCTACAGAAGACTAGACAGAGTGCTGAGCAAAATAACCTCTCAACCGTCGATCAGTTGGAAGTGCGCGAGCAGCCGCAAGTCCCGATATCAGAGTATCAGCGGGATCTGCTTAAGGGAGCTATAGAGTCCGGCAAGAACTACCAACTGGCCGATACAACGCGTAGCTGGGCTGACTACCTGTACGCTAGATACCATCCGCGCACACTCAATGTACTGCCGGACTTAATTCGCGACAGCGATGTTCAGGCTTTGGCCACACAAGCAGCTGGAAAGGAGATCTGGGATGGGGACGCCTTCAACGAAGATTTCTGCAACCGCATTCGCCAATATGTGGAGGAGTGCGAGGGCCTACAGGGCTTCCACATTCTTTTTGACATAGACGACGGCTTCAGTGGCCTGGCCAGCAAGTGCATGGAACATTTGAACGATGAATATAGTCGCGTGAGCTTTGTTCTGCCGCTGCACTACCCACGGATTCCTTCATATAACCAAGCAGGTAGGGGACATTGAAATCTGTGTTAGTTTCCCATATAACTTACATACCAAACTCCATTAATCATCCTGTTAGATCCCCGAACTGCCCACAGTATTCGCGTGGTGAACAGCGTGCTGAGCTATTACCATCTCAGCGAGCAGGCCACGATGTTCACACCGCTAGCCACGCTAGAGACCATCTGGCGGAACAACACCTTACAGTCCCGTCGCATGCCAGGCCTCGAATGGAAAACTGGAAACCTCTACCAGACTTCGGCTGTGCTCGCCGCCTTCATGGACACCATGACGCTCAGCTACCGTCTGCGCCAGACGCCCCAGTCGCTGGTGCGGTTCTGTGAAAATGTCTGCCCGGTTGGACGGAAGATGACAGCAGCTGCCATGGCCCTGCCACTTGGAATGCAGCAGGAGCAGGACCTGATCGACTATATGGACCACAGCGGCGACCATTCACTATTGACCCAGCTGACGCCGGGTTGCGAGGCTGGTACCTCTTATGTGGTGCAGTCGGTGATGGCCCGCGGAATTCCTACCAGTCGATTGAAACGTCCTCAGGAGACGGCCGGACCCCAGCTACGGATGGCTGCCTATGGCTGCAACAGTGTCTCTCAGATGCTTCAGCTGTATTATCAGTGCAGCTTCCATGGCAGTGTCACCAATGCTGCCTCCACTCCCCTGCCCTTCAAGACTCAATTGCCTTTCCCCTACGAGATATTCCAGCCGAACATCGCCACGGACGGCTTCAAGGTGGCTGGGGGCGGGGAACGCGAGTCAAGTACCCGCGTGGAGTCGACTCCAGTGCTGGCAGCCCTGCAGAACTCTACCAAACTTGGCGACCATCTCGATAATCTCCATACCCAGACCCATCGTGTCCAAATTGGAAAACTGCAGTCGTACTCCCAGTCGGCCGTCGATCGGGAGGAGTACGAAACGGCCCTTGACAAGCTTCTCGAGTTCCGCGACAACTATGCCGATCAGCAGTACCTGTAAGTGGATCCTCTTAGGAAGAAGATATCCGATTGTCATAAGACTAGATTAATACACACAATAAACACTCATCCACATCGTTGCGCAAAATACATCCCATGTCTATGGTCTTCTCACCATGGACTGTCCGCAGTGCAGTCTCGTCTCTCCATTATTTGGTTCAAAGCCTCTGTTCTTCGGCTATCAGCCTGTCTCGAGCTTAAAACGAGGGGGAACGTTGTGAGTTGCTTCGGACACCGCAACTCTACAGTTATACCCGATACTAAGTCAGTATGGCTCTCCTCCGGCAGACGCCGCTAATATTAAACAACACGACAAAGAGTGCGTGCGAGAGAGACAGAAAATCAGTCTGAGCGTGACGTCGGGCGCTGCGTAGCCACTGCAAATTGATTTGTTCCTTTTGGCTATAAAAATGATCTGATCTAATCCAGATTCAGCAATCTAATAGATATGGTCATTATCTATGATTCTGCGTTTTTAGTTTTCTCTAATCTGCAACATTGTGGATGCAACAGATTTTCGTCCTTTGTGGGGGCGGAGTGGGGTGAGGCGAAATTTTGAGATATACGTTTTATAGTGACATCTTAAAGGAGTATGTGTACCAAATTTGATTACTCTAGCCTTAATAGTCTCTGAGATTTGTGGTTGCCTCAGATTTTCGTCCTTTGCGGGGGCGGAAGGGGGTGTGGCGAAATTTGGACAGGAAACGGTCAAGGTCCGATATCACAGGAGTGTGGATACCAAATTTGGTTGCTCTGGCTTTTATAGGTTCTGAGATCCTTGAACTCATATTTTGCAATTGGCAAAACCGACCATGAAACCTGTGTGTTAGAGTGAGACAGAGCGAGAAAGAGTGAAATTGTTTTCGTGATTCTGGCTGTAATAATTATACGATCTGGTTCAGATTTTGCACTCTAGAAGATATAGTCATCTTCTACGATTCTGCGTTTTGAAATATTTTTGGAGCAGTGACATATCACAGAAGTCTGGATCCAAAACATCGTTGCTCTAGCTCTTATAGTCTTTGAGCATTAGGCGCTGAAGGGGACGGACAGACGGACAGACGGACGGACGGACAGACAGACAGGGCTCAATCGACTCGGCTATGGATGCTGATCAAGAATATATATACTTTATGGGGTCGGAAACGATTCCTTCTGGACGTTACACACATCCACATTCACCACAAATCTAATATACCCCAATACTCATTTTGAGTATCGGGTATAAAAAACGAGCGGGTACGTTGCTAGCTACTTTTATACCCAGTACTCAGTCAGTACATGTATATATGTCAGTATGTACATGCTTATGTGCGAGCTTATGATTTATGTAATTAATACAATAAATTTTATATGCCGTTTGGTTACGCTGTTAGCAGAATGGAAAAAAGGAAAAAGGTCAAACCGTTTGGGAGATTTTTATTTATTTATTAGATTTTATCTGTTTCCATTTTCCTTATATTCTTTTACATCTGTTTTTTTTCTGCTCTATTCTGCTCTATTCTATTCTATATTTTTCTCTATTCTCGCACCAACACCTGCCGCCCACTACACGAGGTAGAGTATGTGTGAGAAAGAAAGAGAGAGAGTGAGTGGGTAAGAGCGTGGAAAATGTTGCAATTTAATTTTTTTGCTTCTGGCTATAATAATGATCTGATCCAGATTCGGCAATTGTCTCTTCAAAATTGTGGATGCCACAGATTTCCTTGAGAGGGTGGGGCAATGTTTTTAAATAGACTTGTAACGTGTGATATCACAGTCTGAATACCAAATTTAGTTGATATAGCTCTTATAGTCTCTGAGATCTGAGCGCTCATCGGGACATGGCTATACAGACATGGCTATTAATGCTGATCCTGAATATATGCACTTTTTGGGGTCGGAAACGCATTCTTCTGGGTGTTACACCATCGTCAAAAGATATTCATTCATATAATGATGATAGGATGGTAGGTTGCTGTTAAATATACAGTGAACTTAATAAACTATTTAAGAGATACTTATTTACAAGTTTGTTTGGAGATTATGCATGATATTGGATTTTTCTAGGTTTTGAAGAATTATTTTGGAATTATGGGGATGGGGTCTAAATTATTTAATGATGAGAATCTTGAAGATATTATCAAAATATTATTATTAACATTTGTACATTGTCTGGAGCTCGATCCTTTTTATTGTCTCCAAAGCTCTTCCTCCGAATTCCATGTAGTTAGGTATCCCCCAGTCGGATATTGAGCTCGAGAACACCTCCCGCTGATACTAGTGGTTTATTTGTTGTCTCCACAGTTAACCCAAAGGACCTTTTCCGGGTTGCCTTTACCTTTGTGGCTACGTGCGGCCACTTCTCGTTTTGTTTAACCCTTTCGGACGCAGGCCACTCTGTTGGATTGAAAGTTTTCCCCGCCTAATTTATACGGAAATTTATTGCCAATAAAGCGGCAGTAATTGAAATCTCAACGGGAGTAAATCACAATTTTATGGACTGCTAACGGGAGGCGGGGCACACTCGAGTGAACTCCGCCCGCCGATAAAGGCAGAACAGAATAGGTACGAGTATATAGGATAGGAGCAATATGAGATGGGGTTCATAATTTCGCAGTGGCCTCAAGGCGGCTTTGCGCTTTCTCCTCTCCTCTCCTATCCACTCCTCTCCTCTCCTCTCAGGTCAAGTTTCGGGTTGCTCCTGCCGCATTGTTGTGCAAATTAAATTTCAATTTGATTGGCACACAGTGGCCCTCGATCCCCAACTCCTTCTCCAGAGCTGGCTTCTTAAAGCAGCAGCTGCCACTGTTCCGTTGTTTCTACTGTGGAAAAGGGACCAAATCCGAAATTAAAATTACGCCAACGACTTTAATGGAATATGTGCGTGGAATTTGAAATGCCAGTTTTGAACCGACAGAGCATCGCATGGCAAAATATTTGTGCCGTATATACGGGTACGAGTATATTGTGTTTTTTCGCTTCTAATTTAATTTCTAGGTTAAGTAATTTGGTTTCCATTTCGGTCCGCGTCTGCCTGCTGCAGAACTGGCACGAAATCTTGCATTGTCATCCAGCCCTGGTTCTGGACCCAAGAATTGACCTTCGTAGTACTATGTCTATTTAATTACGGTTACACTCGACTCTAGCAAAAGCAGATGACTCAAACTGCTTTCAGATACACGGAAGCTCGAAAATAGTTTTTATTACAGCGTCCTGGATAGCGCTTTCCTTGAAGATGGAATATTCTTCTGATGTAAAAAAACAATAACGATTGAGCGATAAAAGAAATTTCCTTTAGCAAATTTCAGACAGACTAACATCATTCCATTGGTAAAGCTTTTGCTTCTCAATTGTTTGAATTTATAGAACTCTCAGCGGTATGTGCATTATGGGTCTTCTTAGGTAAAATAATAATTATCAATATTGGGAATTAGGACATTGCACTGGCCGGGTAATGGTAATGACTTTAATCCGATCGAGAATCATTAGCACATCCTGAACGAATTATCTGCATTGAAAGAATCGATATAAACATCGAATCAATCTGAATAAAAACCTGGAATGAATTTTTCCGTAAAATTATAAAAGTGAATACCAAATTGAATTTTGGATTCAAAATTTTAATGTGTTTCGTTAGCCGTTTTTATTTTTTAGTTATTTTCGTGAGCTTTTTTCTTAAAAAACGAAACAAAACTTTATAAAAACAAAAAACACCTTTTTTTGTGTAATGTGTAATGTGTAATGTACATAATACACCGATAACGAAAGAGATTATTATGCCCAATACTCAAAGAGTTTAGGAGTTTATATGCCCAAAATGAAGCGTTTCCGACTTCATAAAAAACATATATGTTCTATATACTAGATACATATATATTGGCGAGTCCGATATACATAGCTTTGTCTGTCTGTCCGCCTGTTCGAGGTGTTTGAAGTCTAGTTCTCTAAGACTATAAGACCTAGAGCAGCCAAATTTTGTATTCAGACTCACGCCCTCTTCCGCCATCATAAAGGAAGAAAATCTGTGGAATCGCTTCGCAGTGTCTTCCGATTTTCCCATCCACGCGCTACTCCTTCTCTCTCTTTCTCACGCACTCTTTCTCGTGCAATGTTCGCCCCCTGGCGGAGGAGAGAACGATAGAATAGGTGTTTTAGAGATCTTTGTTGATCGCATGTTAAGAAATAAAAAAACAAAGCGAAATGGAAATTTGGAAAGAGATAAAAATAATTACAAATAGGTAATCATTTTTGCGAACGGAAATTGTCATTGACGTTAAGTTACGTATAAAATATATTGTATAGGTTACATAAGACATAAGACTACTTACATATGCAAGTGTATGGGCACTTCCATTCTGGCTTTACGTTATATTCGTACGACAAAAAAGAGAATGAAATGAAAAAAATCTTTCCAGTTAAATACAAATTGGGTAGCCGTATGTTCACCAAAAAAATGACAACAATCGAACGTACGGTTTTAAAGATATAAACCAAAATATGACCGTACTATTACGTACGTTACTGGCTTTACGTCACCGAATTCCGAGGTAGTAAAAGTAAAAAAAACGTACCATTAGCCGAGATTGGGCCAATTTGTGGGATTTTTTGTATAGAGTCCAATATTGAGGAAACATTTTATCACGAATCATCTTTCTTATAATAGATAATAGTACGGAAAAACATGAATATGAAAATTCCAAAATGTACCAATTTCAATAGGTTTTCCCATGAAAGTCAATGAAAATATATATACAAATACTACGCATTTTTTAAATTAAAAAAAATCACTTAATTTCCGCATGCGCCCGATGTCCGTGTACGTGAATTCACAGAAGGGAAAATAAGCCATTGGGGATATCTGTAGAAGGAATAACGCCTGCCCCGGTTCGCCCACCCGCACCCACCGTCCCATCATTTCCAATTAGTTCCTTCAATTACTCAGTTGGTCAGCTACTTAAGTGCTCGGCTTGGTTCCTTGCGAGTTGATTTTTAATTTCTTTCTCTCACCCTGACACTCTTCTTGTCTGCCTATGGCCCTATCACTGGGTACTTCATCATCCAATGGAACCCTTCAGAGCTGGCTGGAGTTGACTGACTCCCAGGGCAAAACAAACTTAACAAAGTTAGCTAAATTTGGCCGAAGGCGTCATTTTAACTGCCGCTTACCCTTACTCCGCCCTGTCGCGCTCTCCTGGCCACCCTCCTCTAGCTATCCTTGCCGACATTTCAATGCCTTTTTAATCTAGAACAAAAGCAAACTTAATTTGCCACAACATCTGAGATGGCACGAAGCAAAGGCAACGGCAAAGGCAATGGAAACGGCAACGGCAACAGAGGAGGACAGGCTACTGGGCCTGGGAGTGAGGCTGGGGACAACGACAACTACGACGACGTCACTTGGCACATAATTTAATTACAACAACACTTTCGGGGTGGAGGTGGAGGCAACCACGCGCGAGCCACAAAGGAGTGTGGATGGGCATTGCTACTTTGAAGTTAAGCACTCTGCCCCATCAGGCCGCCAGCACTCGTCGTCTGGCACTCGCCACTCGCCACTCGCCTCGCCTTGCCTCTCTCCGAGTGTTGAGCAACAACTTTCGAGTGCAACGCGTCCTGAATTGTAATTAGTGCCCAGGAGCCGCCAGCCGGAGAGGAGATCTGGCTAGGAATGGGAAGCTGGTCAGAGAGAGAGAGAGGGAGAGAGAGAGGGGGAGAAGGAGATGGCATCGCTTGATTTATGGAGCGCGCGCATTTGTAATTGTTATTACGTGTGAATGCTCCACTCGAATCCACTTCAGTCCAACTCAATTGACCCCCCACTCCAGGTCCTGGCAATAAATCCGTTATTGGTGCTAATTGTTGAACGAATGAAGCGCGATTTGATAAAGCGCGCCACTGCTTATGGATTCACGGTCACCACCCATTTGACCCATTGACATTGACACTTGACCCGCTCCACTTCCATTGGCTCCAATCACACAAAGAGAGAAACGATTGCTTTGCTGCCCAGCATAAGCGAGTAGATATCCAAAGATCGGACCAATAGGCGGACCAGGCCTCACAGATGTGGATATGTGGGGATATCTGTGGTGTGGGGTATCCTTCGATAATCTAGAAATCTGAATGATGTTCAATCATCAACTCATCAAGTGATTGTATATTTTCCCCATCATATACGAGGGCTGTTCAATTAGTCTCGCCTCTTGATTGATATGGCAACACTGCTGGTGTCAACAGGCATCAGCTGATTGCTGTCAAAATTTAAAAAACGCTGCATTACTTGACAGCCATTGATAGCAGACTTTCTTCTAATTCGAAGAGAGTAATTTTGAAAAAAAGTAAATTTCATTAGGAATCTTTTTGCGGAATAAAACCACCACTGAGGCCCAGGCTAAGATTTATAAATAGTATGGGAACTCTGACCCATCAATTTCAATGGTAAAAAGGGGTTTACTGAATTTCGGTGTTGAGATCCCCAGTTGAGTTCCCTATTCCTATTTGAATTCCTATTTTTCCTATTAAGGACTTTGACAAATCCTATTTTTTGGAAGGAACACAAAAACTGGAGAAACGTTTGACTCTATTGCTCTATAGAGCTAAAAGGAGACTATGTTGAAAAGAAATAATGATTGCTTATGCAATAGCCTGTGTAACGGACCTTTTGAAAAGACTCGTAAAACAGATGTCTATCAGCGACAAAGGCATGGAATAAATTAAAATATGGCGATTTTTATGATAGAATGGGCTCTGGCAAACGAAGAGAAAAGCAACTTTCTAGAAAGCTTACTTAAAATTCAGTTCCAGTGCATCTTCTATCCTTGAGAAAAGGATCCAGTACTTCTACTTATACACATATTTGTTCGATATGGAGGCGTCACACAGAAATACAGGGACATTCGAATCCTGATGTGAGTGTGTTTGCTATTGCGAAGCCATAATCCTGTTGTTTTATAGCTCGTAATGCCTCGTAATCCTCTCGCTGATGCTCTACTCCATGCTCTTCCTGCTAAGCTCTGTCCAGTGTTGTTCTGTCCAGCTCCTGTATGTTGTGGTTCCTCGTCGCTCTGGAGTTGTTCGTGGGCGAACTTCGACCAGTTAACAGGTTGATTCATTGGAAATTGACCAAATACAATTAAATAGAAAACAATTCCGTCCAATTATTCCAGTGAGCGGAGGGAGTGCCCCCCACCACTTCCGAATTTCCCAACGCAAATTTAATTCCCAATTAGATGGAAAATGATTGAATGGCCAACCGAGAATGCAGTGCTAGCTGCAGCTGTTTCGGGGATCGGGCTATTGTTATCAGTGCTTTGTTTCGGTAAAGGATTCTGACTTATTTCCAACCACAGGGAATCGGTAATCGCCTCCGACTAATTGATGGATGCATGCATCGTAAGCACCTGCATAGGTAAGCCATGTCGATTCTCAATTCTCGATTCTCGAATTGAATGGAAATTAATTCGCACCCAACTGGTGGGATCAGGTTAAACAAGTGGGCTTCCTCACCCGCACAGCACTGCTTATTGTTCAATAAGCGGATTAGGTTCCTTGCACTGCTTGGGCCGGACTTACACGCGTTCTACCCCACCACCACTATCACCATCAACAAAGGGCTCGGTGCAAGGTTCTCTTCAATGTGCGAACATTTACAAATTTATTTACAGGTTTATCGGAAATGACCCAGGAGCAGAAAAGCAAGCCAGATATGGAACAGGTTAATCGGATCCCGTGGTACTGGCATCGGTGGAGGTGGAGGCGTCTGTGCTGGCCTCTGTGCTGGTGGAGCTTGCCTCTGTAGTACTGGAGGAGCTCGCCTCTGTGCTCGTGGTCGTGGTTGTGGTTGTGCTGTTTCGTGGGGGACCCCATGGATAGCCTGGGCCTCCGGGACCACCGGGACCACCGGGACCACCTGGGCCACCTTGAGGACCACCTGGACCACCGGGACCTCCAGGACCCCTAGGAGGACCTCCTGGGCCACCTTGAGGACCACCAGGACCTCCACGACCTCCTGGGGGACCTCCACGGCCACCGGGACCGCCACGCGGTCCTCCTGGACCCCCTCGACCACCTCCAGGTCCTTGGGCGGCGGCCACAGCGACCAGAGCTACGAGAGCGAGAATGATGAATGTGCGCATTTTGTTATCTGCTACCTCTGTGCGATTGTTTGTGATAGACAACTCCACCTGACCTTAGCTCCCACATAAGGCACTATATATACGGACGGACGGGTACAGAGTCACAGAGTCGAGCGGAACACCACAAGTGTTTCATCGATGACGTGTGAAGGCTGAGCAAACTAACGTCAGTTGGGATAAGGTAAACCCCACTCGCTCCCACTCGCCAGTCAATGGCACTGGCCTTGGGCAGACTGGGGTACGATGGAATTCCCAGAACTAGCCTTTTCTCTTTCTCGCACCAAACTCGGATCAAACAGCTGTGCCGGGATGTTTGCCTTACGTAAGCCAGCGACTCATGGACCGCATTCTGGTCTGTCCGGGAATCGGTCTTGTGTCCACATCTATCGCTGGCGTATGCAAAATATTTGCCTTCGATTGATGTTTGCATAATGTACTCGGGTTCCCGGGTACTCGGGAAATATTGTTGGACAAACATCAACACTCTAGTCGATATTGCGATTAAATGAAAATTCGGAAAGATGTATCTTCACGAAATGGAAATGTTTTTCATAAAACAAGTTTAAGTGAGTGCTTCGAAAATAGTCTTGACTTTACCGTCTTTCCGTATGAACCATTAAAATCTTGGTATTCCACATATTCTATATTCTATATCGTTCGTGTCTTCACATAGTACATTAAAAACAAGAATTTTCTGAAAAACAGATCTTTTTTTCTGTGTTCTCAAACAATTCGTGACTAGAAGTTTGGGAGTTTAAGAATGTGTTAGTATGAATGGTTGACCCTCGTGAACAGATCCCCCTGAGGCGGACTTCAGCGGGAGGATCTGTATGGATCCATGTACATATATTCCATGTATATAGTACATATATAGGAATATTTAATAAGAATTGCGACTCTCCACTGAAACTACATGTAATTAACATCTTTCAATTAATAACGACATCGAACATAGTACCGAGCTATTTATTCGATTTATATGTACATATGTATGTACTAACATACTAGTGTACATGTATACGAGTACGAGTACAGAACTAAAATCTCTAAAAGCTTTTGTTTCGATTACACATGAACACTTTTCTCTTTTCCGTTCAATCTTTCCCATCTTTACCTTTTATCCTTTATGCTGTGATGTCTTGAAATTTCTCTACTGTCAATTGCAGTTTTTGGAAGTGTTTTGCTATTTCCAGCCCATGCCCATGCCCATGCCCATGCCCATGCACATGCCAAAGCCTATGCCCATGCTCGTGCCCCTGCCCGTGCCCCTGCCCGTGCCCGTGCCCTCTCCTTCTAGCCGACATCTCCATCTGTCTCATTCGAACATGTTCATATGTGTGCATTCAATAAAGCTGTTGTTGGTAATTGCAATAAATTGTTTTTGGCCTTTTTTTAATGTCGATTTTGTCAGTTTTGCTTTGTTTTGGTTTGGCAAAATGCGTAATTAAGTTTTGGCCTGTTTCTCCTTGCCTTCCTTGCAGATCGGCGGTGCCGAGTGTTCCTAGTTTCCTTTCCCCAAAAATGTTCGAAAAGGTAATTATTATTATTTTTTTTTTTAATTTACAGCTTTGTACTAAAATTGGTCACATCCGGTTTTATAAGGGGGGGGGGGGGGGGGGGGGGGGGGGGGGGGGGGACCATCTCTTGCGGAGGCTCCGTGGTATGGTATATGTCATATGTATTTCTTACGAACTTTTATTAGCTTTTAATTCTCCTAATCTTAATTTCACTTTCGAACAGTTTTGCGGAAATGGGACCAGGAATCCCCCCATTTGTGGGGCAGTTCACAGTTTTCAAATCTAACGATTTTCGTTGCGTTTTGGGTAAAATTAAAATGGCCCACACTTTGTTCTATGCTTATTTGATTTCCGGCCCCGATAAGGGCTCTGGCTCTGGTGCAGTCGAATCGCCGGGAAAGCCAAAACTAACGCAAAGGAACAAGAAAAAAAGAACAACAAAAAGTTTTTATTTGCATTTCTTGGGCATTTCGCTGCAAAACAGAAAGTGAATCGAAAGAAGTCTGCAGGTATGCCCTGGTGTTGGTCCTGGTCCTGGCCCAGGAGAGCTCTTTTCGTTTCCCTCTCCCCCCCCTAGCTACAAGGAGCTTTTTCATCTGGAAAAGCTCAACGGGAGCCAGAAAGGAAGGCGAGCTTCGACGGGGCTGAATCTTTAGATACCCTTTCACATCGTTCGTTCTATGGAAGGAATTTACATGTACCTTCGCTGAGATATGTAGTACAATGTTTAAGTACAATGATACGGGATCTGGTTCTAGTATAAGCCTGAAATTTTCAACGTTACACATCGTCATATACTAGAATCGGAGATGCTTCCATTCTGGGTGTTGATCTTCCCGTCAAAATCACAATACTCTCTGCAAGAGTATCGAAATCCAACTCATTTTACACAGATTCTTCTTCTCGTTTTGCCGTATTCTGCTGTTTCCCACTCCACTCTACTTCGCTCCACCCTTCCCCACAATCACTTTCTATACATATAAACAATTGAAATGAATTTGTATCCTGCACACACACACACACACACACACACACACAAACACACACGCAACAATAAGAGCAACAAAAAAAGGGGAAACTTTGCCGACAAACTTTGACTTTGGTTATTGTTACAGTTTAACTTTGTTGCTTTTGCCATGCCCCCTCCTTGTTCCTATTTTGGTACCCTCTACAGGGCAGAGGTACACTCTGCGAGTGCAAGTGTAACCAGCGGAAGCAGGTCTTGTGTTATGAACATGTCTCTCTCTGGACGCATGAATAACGAATGGGACTGGAATCAATAAAGGAAAAACACATTGTACTAGCAGCTTCTTCAACTTGTAGCGCGTGATCCATGTGTTTCGGAGTACAATGAAAACTCTACGCTTTCCCAAGCGGTCACCCAAGTGGCTGCTCCGGGTTCAATTATCGAAACTACACTCAGAGGAACAACGAAAAAATAACTGACTTGATCGATCGGTTATTATGAGGCTCCCACGTCAGGTTAAATTGTCTTCAGATGCAACTGTTTTGTCCAACAAATTCCCATGATTTCTGCTCATTAATTTAGCCTCCAGCCACGGCAAACACCTACGGTGGGAGTCAGTCAAAGGAAGCTGGTGCTCGTAACAGCGAGTGGATAAGTGGTTAAGTGGAAAAGAGGAAACGAGGAAACGAGGGTATCTTCAGGTCTAGACACTGGTCAATTAGATTCTCAGTTGCTCGCTTCGTTGCTCTTTTTCTTGCGCCATGTGCTCTGCCTTTGGTCTGCCCTTGTCGACGCTCTTGCTGTTATTTCCGCTGTTGCTGTTGTCGCCAACGCAGACGAAGCTGTCGCTGACGCTGACGCAGCCCACAGGGGCGAGGGCAAAGGGGCGTGGAAAACGAAACTTTTCAAATAAAATGATTTCTTATTTAGGCATCCGATTTGAGACACGCCCTTCCCGTCTACTTCCCCACACCAGGCCGCCGTTTGACAGGACTCTTCTGTTTCTGTGAGAAGAGCGATACCCCGATACTCCGATTTGGAATGCAAATTTCAGATGGTAATGGAATCGGAATAGGGCTTACTTCAATAAGAACAAGCTCTTTATTTTCTCCATATACTATGTCTGTACACATGCAGATACAGTGCATGTGCATACAGAGGAATGTGGTTGAAGACCATACAGAGCTGTAGATACGATCTGCCTTTGATTAGGTGGAGTCGGCGGATGGAGCCTCGGAGGATGGAGCCTCTGAGGATGGAGCCTCGGAAGGTGGAGGCTCTGTAGAATTACCGTTCGGGCGACCTCCAGGACCACTGGGAGGACCTCCAGGACCTCCAGGACCTCCAGGACCTCCAGGACCACTGGGTTGACCTCCAGGACCCCTAGGTGGTGGTCCTCCTGGACGACCTCCCGGGGGACCTCCAGACCTCTGAGCGGTAGCTACAGCGACCAGGGCAAGGAGAGCAACAACGATAAGGATGCGCATTTTCGGGTTTTGGTTTTTGTAGACTGAATGAAAAACTCTAACTGATATTACCGGCCAATACCGGCCCTTATATACTACTGCCAATTAGCTCGACTTTGGTCAAGCACAGATGTTCCTGCACTGATGTTTTCTCTGGGCAAACATTAGTTGAAAACATCAAGGCAAACAGTGAATGGCGTTTCCGACTGCGGTTATGTAAGTTAATTCAATGCTCTATACAAAAGTTTAATTATAGGAGATTTACTTCGGTTTGTTTGGAGTCCTTAGAATCGCATCCTCATACATTTTAGAAGATTGTAATTCAATCTATTTGATTATTTAGAGGAATCTTCAGATCTTGTTTGAGGAAATAGTCAGATACCATAGATACTCATAATTAGATCATCGCAGTGGTTCTCAAGAAGTTGAACCTGAAGGTCCTCGCGATTATTAAAGTCTTCCTGAAACTTAATGCTTGAAGAGAAATTTTATTCATTTAGCTCTTAGTGTATATATTTTTTGTTTGATTTTTATAAAGGTGTGTCTTAGCTTGGCTAACTCACCCAAAGGAAAATGATATAAAGTCTGTAAAAACGATAGAGATGAAACCTTAAGCTCTTCACAGGGATTTGCGCAACACAATAACCTCCCACATTCCACCTCCCGCCTCTCACCTCGCAGCTTCCACTTCTCAGTTCCTGTAGTTTCTTGAACATTTGGCACTTGGATGAGACACCGAACGAACTTGCATATAAAAAATTTCTACACATGATTTCTTTTTATTGCTTTATGACTGTGCTCCGTGTGTCTCTGCGTGTGGGGTGTCTGTCTCGGGAAAGTGTTCGCTGCAGTCCTGCCCCCATCCCGTAAACTCTTATGAATATTTCACAGTGGCAGTACCAGTACCAGTCCAAGGAACAGCGGAAGACGAAAGTCGCGAAAGAAGCTCAAACTTTGACATTCAGACGGAAGTTGCCTCTAACCCTTATCCCCATACATCCCTTACATCCCGCGGAGACCTGCACATATCCTTTGTCCTACGCCCCTTCCACCACTAAACTGCAGCCCTTCTCAAGTGTAACAGTTCCCCTTACGGGATTTATTTTGTATTTTGTTTAGTTTAATTTATGAATCTATTAAAACTGTAACAATGCATGTGGGGGTTCGAAGAAGGATTACGTGGGCGAAGGACCTTCTTCTGTGCAATAACATTTGATGATCTGTTTGGCACGGCGCGTGCTGTGAATCGTCAATAAATAAAAAATGTTGACGCTCTCAAAGCGCTCGGGGAAACCCTGACCCGTGCACCACGACCCCTCTCTGTGCAAACCATTTTGTGGCATCCATGCTGCGAGTAGACCGTGTATTTGTGTGCATGGGTATCTATGAGTGTGGGTGTCTGCCTCACCATTTTCTGTTATTTCCCCCTGGTTTAAGCGCAGGCTAAGGAAGCGGGAAAAATATCAAATACACGTTCAACCATTTCTCTCCGAGCTCTACAAACTCAAAAGCCTGTTTTATCTAAGATTGTTATCACATAAAACTGTTTTTAGCTCATTATTTGATGCCGATGTCCCTGTTGCTGACTGATGATTTGCGTCCAGATACAAATAATTACTAGTTTACAATAATCACAATAATTACACCCCAATCACCTGTTTGGGGTTACCTTCTCTAGCCACAATTCCCTTTGGAAATTTGATCAAGGTTGTGCCAGTCAGTGTATATCAGGAAAAGTCCGAAATGTAAATCTGTAGTGCCGTGAATCCCAGCTGGAGAGGCGGATAGACGACTTTAGCAGAGTCCGTTTCGGGCGAGGGAGAAAGTAGGTACGAAAAATCAAGAAGTGTAAATTTTCTCTAGTTTTGACGCCTAATCAGAAGGCGTTAGCCATCAGAAAGGCAGTGCCAAAGTTGCGCATGCAACAAATTCTGAGAGGCAAGCAAGCCAGCAAGCAACAGCAGCAGCAAGAGCAATTAGCAATTAAGTAGCACTTAATTCGTTGTTGTTAATCGAAAGTCACTGAAACAGAAGCTGGCGAGTGCAAGGGCTGAGTGTCACAATCCACGAGAGGGATTTGTAGTTCCAGAGCGACCAGATCAGTGCTTTGTGCTTCGAGTGACCAAGTGCTTCGGAGTGGCGCTTATGAATGCCTTTACCCTTGTCCCACCAACTAACACAAGATCGGAACTAAACATTAATGCTAAATTGATAGCAGCTGGGAGACCAAATGCACAATTACTCGTACCTCTGCTATACTGCTCAAAAGCACATGGTAAAGTAAATCGGGAACGTGAAGGAATAAGTGGGAAAGAAGAGAAAAGCAGAGGAAAATACATGCCCAAGTGATCGGAAGAGTGAAGAAGTCACTTCGTCTGCGGGTAATTTGGGTTTTATATCCGATACTCAAAAGGAGTATATATTTGTATATGCGATTTTTGCGGAAAATGGATGTGTGTAACGCCCAGAAGGAAGTGTTTCCGACTACATCAAGTATATATCTTCATGATCTTCCTGTCCGTCTGTCCGTCCTTCCGTCTTGTTTGACGCCTAGTTCTCAGAGACTATAAGAGCTAGAGCAACGAGATCTTGTACGAGTATCCATTCGTTACAGAGGCCATTTTTGAGAGTTAAAGCTTAAGCTACGCAGGCAGAGAATGTACTGCGTCGCATAATGCGAAAGTAATTTCGAAACTGATGGATTTTTTAAAATTGTATTCACAGAACTGTAGGGTTTTGACAGTCAGATACAATTTATCGAAGGCCTGCAGGTCTGCAGAGCTCCAAACGAGAAATGAAGACTAACTTCTGACGAAGAAGCTCCTGGGATATAGAAACATCTCGAGAGATGCTCTGAGTGTGTGCTCTTTTCTTTCGTTTCATTTTGTTTACTCCTCGACGAAGATTCAAATACTTAAGTTAAGGCAGAAAATATAGAAAAGAGTCGGGATTGGGTGATTGCTCTTTTCAACATATCACCCCCACGCATGACCGTTGGAAACTCTCACAACCTCGACAGCCCAATGCCATCTCCTCCGGTATCTCACGAACGATAGCGTCATAAACGATCCAGGATTCACTTGATTTTGTCACTTGCCCAGAAGCTTAATACGTTAATGGGCGAGCCGGAGGTGGCGCTGATTTGTGGTCAGCTGTCCATGGCACATCGACTCACTCACATTTTGATAAGCCAACACATGCATATGCAAGCACCCGGACACACACATCGGAATGTTGTTGTGTTGATGAGGCATTATTGAGTACCTGCTGTTCTAGTTCGATGCTCGGTCTTTTCCACCCGTTCCGTTCCGTTCCGGTCCGGTCCGGTTCGCCCCAGTCCCGTTCCGTCCTTTTCAGTCCAGTCTGCTAATGCGCCCAACAGAGACTAATAGGCCTGATTCGATTGCACAATCGGACAGTCGATGGTCCCAGTCCTCAGGCAGTCGCAGTTCCAGCGACGCTTCTTCTACTTCTCTCGTTCGGATACGAATTCCGAACCACATGCCCTCCCCATGAGGAGGATGAGCGATGCGGGACGGGACGGAAGGAAAACGGATGGATCCCAAGTTGGTTGAGTGAACGGAACCGGGGCCAGAAATGTTATTATGCAAAATAATAACAACGCACCGCACTATGAAATTAAATTTTGAATCCCAGCAGTGAGTAAACTTAAAATACAAGTTATTGCAACACCAGAAACCGTTTCACATGTGTCTCAGTGTGTTCGTGGGTTCGTGGGTTCGTGTGTCCGTGTATTCGTGTATTCGTGTGTGTTGCCACATGACTGGCTTTGACTCTGACTCTGAGTCGGGCCATGGATGTTTCCTTGCTTGTCTGACATTCGTTGCCGTGGCCAACGGGTATACGGGTCGCGGGAACGCAAGAGAGGTTCAAAGATACAGGGAAGAATGAGATCAAGGGAGCATTTTGGGAACCGAGCTCGCAAATACGAAAACGTCCCGAGGATACACTCGAGGATATCCCAATCGAAAGTGATCCCTAATCAAGCGTTCCAAAGGAAAATGGTTCTGGATAGAAAGTGTCCGCAAATTGATATTTGATATCTGAGCAAATTCTTCGATAAGAAAAAACCCCTGGATAAGGATAATTCACACAAGAGAAGGTCCTTAATCAGAAGAATTCTTCGGCGGAAATAATGCTCCGGGAATTGTTGGAAATATTACTGGGACACATTACTCCCACTTTTCCTTTCTAGGGACAGAGTATTTCGAGTTCCTTGTGTCTCCACTGCGGACTTTCAGCTGTTTTTCTGCAGTAGTTTGCTGGCTGCGTTCATTCCTTTTTCGGTTTGCCCGTCCCCGCTTTGGCCTTCACTCGTCCCGGCTCTGTTCTGCTTTGCTCCGCTCTGGCTTGGCCTGGGATCGAGGGTGGGTGGCCGAGTGCGAGTGGGGCTGCGTTTGGCTGTGGGCTTGTGTCTGGGACTGAGACTGAGACTGGGAGCGTTGCCGTTGCCGTAGCCGTAGCCGTAGCCGTTGCATTTGCCGGTTACGGCTCGTTTTCGTTTTCGTGGGAGTTGGAAGACAAATTGATTTCATGTCTGAAACTTCTTAAGCGCCTGCATCGAGGGAATCCTTGGCACCTTCCCACTCCCACTCCCAGTCCCACTCCCAGTCCCACTCCCAGTCCCACTCCCAGTCCCACTCCCAATCCCTCCATTCATCTATTCTGTTCTAGCCGGGCTAGTCGTGTGGTGTTTGTGTTCCCAATTTGATATTGTGCACATGAAGCGCAGCCAGATCCACCTACTCGGACGAGTATTTGCCCCATCGCCTTTCCGCCGCTGCCTTTTTGTGTTTTTTGCTTCTTTTTTGGTGGGTTCTCTGTTAAATTTGTCTAGAAATTGATGCGCTCTGCTCGAAACAATATAGCAAGACAACAGCTCAGTGGCAAAGGCAACATGTTGCAATGGCTATCAGCCCGAGTTCACCTCTTTCTCCCAGCGAGCCCCACGCCAGGTTGCATGCTTTTGGCGCATATTTTGCGGCACGTCGCTGCGGCTT